TGAGTTCAATCGTAGGGAGAGGCAGCTATTTCTCTCTCTCTGGGTACAATGAGAATACCGTATTTATCGGCGTATAACACGCACTTTTTTCCCCCTGAAAATGATGTATGCGTGTTATACGCCGATATAATGTTAAGAAGCCTTCGGTGAATGCTGCTGGGATCGGGGATCAAGGACACAAATGAAAGAAGGGGAGGGAGGAAGCAACCGAAGCCTGTCCTTCTCTCTGGGTCAGCTCTGTCAGTCGCTCTCTCGCTCCTCCACCAGCACAGGAAGAAACTGCTTCACCCCGCCCGCCCGCCCGCCCGCCCGCAGTGCTCCGTTCTGCCTGCCTGCCTGCCTTCGTTAATGGTTGAATCGGAACAGCTTCGGCTGAGTAAAAGAGGCGAATAGTTATTATTCTCAGCCGAAGCTGCTCCCAAACAACCAGAAACTAAGGCAGGCAGGCAGGCAGGCAGAATGGGACACTGTGGATTGAAGCGCGCGCGGGGGGTGGGAGTGGGGGTGAAACGGGCGCTTTCCTGAAATTTCCCTCTTAAAATGAAGATGCGTGTTATACGCCTGTGCGTGTTATACGCCGATAAATACGGTATATCTACCGAACAAAACTCCACATTGGTGACAAGAAAGGCAACCGGCTAGTAAACACTCAGCTCTATTTCAGTTGCCATTCAAATTTGGGGATCCATTGTGGAATGGAAATGAGTGGTACGGTGGCCTAGAGGTAGACCTTTTGCCTCACAATCGGGCAGCTTTGAGTTCGATCCTAGGTAGATATTTCTCTCTGTGGGCACCATGAGAATATCTCCGCTGAGTATAACTCCGTACTGGCAACAGGAAGGGCATCCGGCCATTCAAACACTCTGCTAGCTCCATTCAGTTGCCCAGGCTCCACCCCGCAAGGGATTATGGGTTCGTTAAATGAAGATGATTTAGTTACAGTGGAACTCACAAGAGTGTCCTACAACTTGTCCTCCCAGTTATGACCATTGCAGCATCCCTGTGGTCAGGTGATCGAAATTCAGACGCTTGGCAGCTGGCATGTAGTCCCTGACTTATGTCCACAATTGAGCCCCAAATTTCTGTGGTTGTAAATTTTGCCACATTTTATGACCTTTCTTGCCTTAGTTGTTAAGTGAATCACCGAAGAAGCCACAAAAGGTCCCTTGGGGCTGGCCAATGTAGTGCTCCCAGATATCTAAATCTAGACGGGGTCTTCAACGTACAATCGCAATTGTGCCCAACGTGTCTGTGGTGGTGAAGCGAGACATTTGTGAAGTGGGTTTGGCCCCATTTTACGACCTTTCTCACCACCATTGTTAAGTGAATCGCTGCAGTCGATAAGTTAGAAAACCTGGTTATTAAGTGAGTCTAGCTTCCCCTTGTTGACTTTGCTTGTCTGGAGGTCGCAAAACAGGATCCCATGATCTTGGGACACAGCAACGGTCATAAAATCGAGTCAGTTGCCGAGCATCTGACTTTTGATCACGTGACTCTGGGGATGCTGGAAACAGTCATAAGTGTGGAAAAATGGTCCTAAGTCACTTTTTTCCAGTGCCGCCATAACTTTGAGCGGCCGCTAAATGAACTGTTGTAAGTCAAGCTCTCCCTGTATTGCAGCTCTGGGAATACAACGGAAGCAACTTGTTGGACCCGGTCCAGGCGGGACAGGTCTACCCCAGCTACAACCTGGGCAACTTCACCTGGGCCAGCCTGGATGGACAGCTGAATGAAACGGCCCTCAGCGCCAACTTCCAGGGCTCCAGCCGCGAAGGCACCTTCGCAAACGGGAGCATCTCTTTCAAGGTAAGTTGGACTGGGTGTGTGTGTGTGTGCGTGTGTGATGTGGGGCAGAGGTTGTCTCCTTTTGGAAATGGCTGTGGGTTGAATTACAGGTTAGTCCTCGTCTTACAGCGGTTCGTTTAGCGACCGTTCAAAGTTACGATGGCATTGGGGAAAAGGGGATTTTACGGCCGTTTTTCCCCCCCATCCTTACAAGCTTTGTAAGCAGGGCCGTGTTCGCGTGATCAAAATTCAGACGCTTGGCCACTGACTCATACTTACGACTGTTGCTGTGTCCCGTGGTCATGCAATCCCCTTTTGCAACCACCTCACAAGCAAAGGTAGATTCGCTTAACAACCGGTTTGCTAAGTTACCAAAGTCAAAGCCAACGGGGAAGCCCAGTCACGTTACTGATTTAAGAACCGCAGTGGTTCCTTTAACAGCTGTGGCAAAGGAAGGTCGGACAATGGGGAGAAACTCCCTTAACAAATTCTTGCTTAGCAACGGAAACTTGGAGCTCCAAATTTCAAGGACTGCCTGCATTGAACCCTTCATGGGACAACCTCCTTCGCCAAGCCCTGATAAATCAAGGTTAACTCGAACCGGGTTAGGGAGGGAGGGAGGGAGGGAAGCGAAGGCTGGTGAGGTTGTGGTCAGTCTGGGCCGCCATCCTGCCCCTGCCTCTCTGCCTCCGTCCCCCTGCAGGTGACGGCGTACGAGGAGGGTAGCCGCGACAGGCCTCTCCCACGCCTTCTGCACAGCGCCAACAGCTCCAAGGTGGAGTTCGCCATGGAGGGCGTAGTGCCCCGGGGGAACCACTCCCGCTTTGCCCTGGAGATCCTGGCGGTCGAGGAGGGGAACCGGAGGAAGCAGCTGCAGTCGGCCCGCTCCATCGATGACGAATATACCCCAACCATTTTTGAGGTACGGACGGGGCATCGGCTTTGGGTACCAGTCGAGAGTCTTCTCGGCCATTGTTTGGGCGATGGAGCCATCGCTGGCTGGATTTGCATGGGGCTCCAAAGGCAGAATGGGACAAGTTGCCACAAGCAACTTGGTGTGGCCTGTCGGCCACCGGCCCCTCCAGCAGCTGACTCAGAGGAGGAGGAGGAGGAGGAGGAGGCGTGGGAGTCAGGGTCAGCATCACCTGAGAGTTCAGAGGGGGGAAGAGGGAATGGAGCTGGCAGAGAGAGAGAGAGGGAGGAGGAGCCTGGGCTGTCCGTCAGCCCTCAGATGGAGAGTCAACAGCCCCCCCAGGTCTGGAGGTGGCTGAGGAGGAAGAGGAGGAACAGCCGAGTCCAGTGCCTGACGCTTGGATGCACAGAAGGCAGAGGAGAGGAGAGCAATGGAAATCTATGGGCCGGTCCTTGGGCAGATAGAGGCACCCCTGCTAGCGAAGCCCCACCCAGGCTCTGGAGATCAAAGGCAGGGGGCGGAGATGAATAGGGATGGCAGGCAGCTATTCTTCTCCCTGCTGGACGGACTTGTTAGCCTGCGGTGAGAGAGAAACTTTTTGCCGAGGTGCCGGCGCTTCTAATAAAGGAATCTTTGAGTTCACTTCAGAGGGTTTGTCGTGTTTGGGGAGCTGGGTCAGGACACATCTAGCTGCAACCAACTTGTAGTAGCCAACTCATCGTGGCTAATTAACTGGATGCGGGACAAGAATCATGAAAGAAAGGATGCCAAAAAGGAGGGACAGAATGAAACGTGAATGACAAAAATTAAAATATTTTAAAAATTATTTCCAGTCATTAAATTGTCGAATTGTCCCGCAGCGAGTTGTCCTGTGGCAAGTTGGTCATGGCGAGTTGAATTAAGGAGAAACTTTCTAACAGTGAGGACAATTAACCAGTGGAGCTGTTTGCCTCCAGAAATCGTAGGCGCTCCATCATTGGATGTTTTTAAGAAGAATCTAGTCAGTCACTTATCCGAGATATTATAAGTTCTCCTGCTTGAACAGGGGGCTGGACTAGAAGACCTCCAAGGTCCCTTCCAGCTCATGCATTCTATTCTATCCTGTGGCAAGTTGTCATAGGCCTCTCCTGAAGATGCTTTTCCAAAAGGCAACTGGACTTTTTTGGTTGCTGTACATCATCATCTCCTTTTAATGACTCCATAATCCCTTGCGGGTTGGAATTGGATGCAGTTGAATGGAGGAGCTGAGTGTTTACTGGCCCGATGCCCTTCCTGTTGCCAATGGGGAGTTTTGTTCAGCAGATATATTCTCATTGTGCCCAGAGAGAGAGAAAATATCTGCCTTGGATCGAATTCACAAGCCTCCTGATGGTGAGGTGAGAGCTCCACCTCTAGGCCACCCCACCGCTCTTTCTTGCTTGCTTGCTGTACGTGGGGGACACAAAACAACCCTCTCCAAAATGGAGTCTAATAACGGCGTCACATTTCCTTTCCCCTTTTTCCTCCCAGATGGCCCAGCTGACCTCTGAGCCTCACAACCACAGCTTGGGGTCCAGCTTCCTGCAGTGGAAGACGGCCGCCTACAACTCTAAAACGCCCCGTCGGGAAAACACCGTCCACTGTCAGTATTACCCCCTCCAGGCGATGCGCACCCTCGGCCCCGAGTTCAGGATTCTCCAGGCTTACTTCGGGGAGGACGTCGAGCAGCGCTGCAGCCTGTCTGCCCTCAATATCTCTTTTGGCAGTGAAGACAGCGAAGACTACAGCGAGAAGAGATACTTGAGCTGGTGAGGATCCCTTTATGGTGGGTCTTTGCTGGAAGCCGAGGGTGTGTGTGTGGGGGGGGGTCTCCTTCCTAGATCACTGGGAACTTCTTCCTGTGGGTTTGAAAGGCGTCATTTCGTAAATTGGGGTTCCCTTCCCGCGATGGGGGCCAGCGCTGTGATCCAGATAGCCCAGTTCTCCCAGTTTGATAGGACCAAGCGGGCGCTTTCTTCGCTGGTCGTGATAAAGCGAACCGTTGCAAGTCGGGGACTACTTTGTAAGAACTCATTTTGCATTCAGTGCCGTTGTAAGTTAGAACGGTCACTAAACAAACCGTTGTAAGTCGAGGACTACCTGTATTGACTCATTTTGCCTTCCTTGTTGTAACTTTTGAACAGTCACTAAATGAACTGTTGTAAGTCTAGAACCACTTTATAAGGACTCATTTTACATTCAGGGCCGTTGTAACTTTGAACAGTCACTAAAAGGAACTCTTGTAAGTCTAGGACCACTTTATAAGGACTCATTTTGCATTGATTGTTGTAACTTTGAATAGTTACGAAACGAATCCTAAGAACCAGGGATGGGCTTCAAAAAATTTAGTTCTCTGCCCGGTGGCTGGGTGGGCGTGGCCATGTTGGGCGTGACCTAGTCGGCCTCCTGCACCACGCGGGGGGGGGGCGTTTTTGCCCTCCCCAGGCTCCGGAGGCTTTCCTCAAGCCTCCGGGAGGGGAGAAATGGCCTCCCCAGGCTCTCGGGGGGCCAGAAAGTGGCCCATTTCCGGCCTTCTGGAACTTCCAGGAGGCCCGTTTTCTCCCTCCCTGCAGAGCCTCCGTGCAGGCCCTGCACTTACCTGGGATCCAAAATGGGCCGTGTGAAGACTCCTGGGGGGGGTTAGGCAGGGTCTGCCAGTCGTTGCAACTACTGGTTTGGAGAACCAGATGCAAAATTAACAACCGGAACTGGTGCAAACCGATAGCAGCCCACCTGTCGGGATTCCGGCAGTTACTCCCAATTAAATCATGAGCCTTGAGCCAAATTTCCAAAACTTAAAAGAAGATTTATTGGGAGTTAACATGTCCGGCACTGCCTGGGTGCAGCCGACTCTGAGGCACACCATTCATTGTCACCCTTGACCCTGGTTTTCCCTCCATCCCCTGGGTGTATCGTAATTCCTATTCTCCAATGAGACACATCCATAGCCCAGAGTCACCAATCATGCTCTCCAGTTAGAATTTTGCACAGCAGAAACTTCAGTCACCTAGTTCAGGGGTTGCCAACCTTTTGGACCTCAGGGACCACCAAACTCATAATTTTAAATCCTGCGGACTAGAGACCCTGGGAAAATCCCCAAAAAAGTCTGCAGGAAAATTCCCCACCTGGTTTTCCTACCGATGGATCATTCTTTATTTGGGATTGCAGGATACCGTCTCCAGCTCCGTTCTCAGGGGGAGAGAAAGAGAGACTTTTGGCTTCATGCAAGAGAAGCAGCCGAAGTCTTTCTTTCTCTCCCCCAAACTCCGCCAGAAATGAGTCTTTGCCAATGCAGCCTCTTGAAGCAGGATGCCTTGCAAAGCCCCAAAGACTCATTTCTGGCGGAGTTTGGGGGAGAGAAAGAAAGACTTTGGCTGCTTTCCTTGCGTGCAGCCAAAAGCAGAAGAAGAAAGAAGTGGAAAGAAGCAGCCCGGTGGCCAGGCCAGGCGCGTGGGGCGAGTGGGGCGAGTGGGGCAAGTTCCCTCCCTCTGCCCTTTCCCCCCTCCCCTCACTACCTCGTGTTGTTCGCAATGCAAGCAACGCAAGCCTTGTGTTCCCACGCAGCCTGGATTAATTGCTTTGGGGGTGACATTTCTCTGCGGACCACCATAATTTTCTTGCGGACCACCAATGGTCTCCAGCCCACTGGTTGGCAACCACTGACCTAGTTACTATCTTTGAAAACATTTATGGAATGCACTTTGGGTTTTGCAAGCTGCTTCACTGCTCCCCCTTCCCTTTCTGCTGGCAACTCTAAAAAGACCCTAGAAATACTTCATGAGTTGACCCCACCCCTGAGAAGGACTTCCCTGCCATGACTCGTTCCCCCTTCTTCCGTCTCTTTCCTTCCAGGTCTGCCTTGGTGGGTTTTGGGGAGCCCCCACGTGAGGGCTTCTCTGTGCTGGTCATCGGGATCCTGGCCGTGGCGCTGGGCACCCCGGCGGTGCTTCTCATCGTGGGCAGCCTGGCGGTGCTCACGAGGCAGCAGAAACAGTGTTCGGAGTACGAGCCCATCAACTGACGGGCAGCCCGAAGTGGCCCCCTTCTCCGGGGACCGAATTTTACGGACAGACCAACCGAGCTTCCTGGGCCGTTTTTGCAAAGGTGCCAGTCTCAGCTGCCCCCGTGGGGTCGGGCTTATTTATTGTTTTCCCCTAAAGGGGGCAGAATTCATCTCAAAAAAAAAATCGGAATAATCAGGATTTCTGGAGAGGGACGTGTTCTCCGGGCCTTCTCCTTGCATTGACAAGGATTTTGTGGATTTCTGGGGTGACAGCAACACAGGGCCCTGCTGTTGGGTCGAGCAGGAATGGGACATGACTTAACACAGAGGCCTCCAAACTTGGAACTTTAAGACTTGTGGACTTCAACTCCCAGAATTCTCCAGCCAGCATAGCTGACTCTCTTGTAATCTCTTCCTCTGCAATCGCTCTCTATTTTACGAGATTAAGGGAGGGGAAAAAAAGTAGGCGTGGCTGGCTGGAGAATTCTGGGAGTTGAAGTCCACAAGTCTTAAAAGTTCCCAGGTTTGGGGGACCCCTGACTTAACGGTTTAATGGTTGGGAGTTGACTCTTTGTCCAAGGGTCTCTTCTCACAACACGCAACACCCCTCACTATACACGGAGCACAGTTCTCAACCCTGAGGACATTTGGGTTTACAGAGCTCAGGTTGGCCCGAATGCGGATATTTTTCTGAAAAGGACAAGGATTTGGAGAGCGGGAGTCCCCACTGCACAACGCCTGAGTTTTTGCCAAAATGATAGGTGGGTGCCTTCGTTTGCCACCTTCAGGGGGGAAATGTGTGTGCCTGGACTTTGCTAATTCTGCTTTTCCTGTCCTGATCTCAAAGACCCAGATGTTGAACTCTTGTTTCCAATCATCATGTGGGTCTTTCCACTTAGGAAAAAAAATTAATTCCCTCCCTCCCTTCCTTCCTCACTTCTTTTATTTCCTTCCTTCTCCAATTCTCCTTTCTTCCCCCTTCTCTTTCCCTTTCTCCTTTCCTTCCTTTCCTCCCTCCCTCCATTTCCTTTCTTTCCCCTTCCCCTTCAATTCTCCCTCTCTCCATCTTTCCCTTTCCTTTCTTCCTTCCCCCCTTCCCTCTATTTTCTGCCTTCCTCCATTTCCTTCCTTCCTCTCCCCTTCACCTCCAATTCTCCACCCTCCCTCTTTCCCTTTGCCCTTTCTTCCCTCCCCCTCCCTTTCTTCCCTCTCCCCTTCCTTCCTTCCTTCCTTCCTTCCTTCCTTCCTTCCTTCCTTCCT